AAAAAAAAAAAAAAAAACACAAGAAGACTCAGTGGAAAGAAGCCAGGCTGGCTCCGGAAACTGGGATCCAGGAAATGACACAATGGTTAATCCCCTGGGTTTTCTTTTTATCTCACACATCCCAGACTTGGGGCGGAAAAAAACCAGCAGCCTGGAATGCCAATGGGGGCAACCAAAAAAGCCCCAACCAAAAGAGAAGAGACTCTCTGCCCTACCCTTCAGAGGAAGGGAATTTAGTGTTCTCTCTCAATTCATCACTGAAGGAGGGGGAAGAGACTATTTCTGGTTCTCTTCATATTAGATTCCTTAGTATTCAAGAACGGGAGTCAATCCTATCTTTAACTGAAGAAATGTGAAAAGAAATGACTTTGGCTCTAATTAGCAACATGGGATGATCATGGAAGAAGCACTTGACAGGAATCCCACCCTCAATTTCTCTACTACCCAAGGTCTCCCAAACGCTTGGTGGAAAGAAACTGAGTTTATGGAGAATTGTCCCTCCCTCCATTCCTCAGGATACTCAAGAATCTTTCTTTGGGTCAACTTGCACCACAGAGGATGGCATTATTGGACTTTTTCACAGCGACTTCTGTTCTTCCCTGTACAATGGCTTTGACTGGATTGTGTTGGCATCATGCTCTTCTCTTTTAGATGATATTCTGAGTTATAGCTTTTGTGTTTATTACAAGGGGTCAGTTGAAGACATTATTCAGGGTTCTTTTTATGATCATACCCTGGGCAATTTTCTTTCTGGCCATATAGATATATTAGAAATAACTGAATGATCCCAAAGACCTGATTTGTTTTAATCATGTGGAATTGTGACTCACAAAACTAAATATTTCCTGTTTGGGTTGGCTGCTGGAAAATTTAAAACTGAGTCAGTGGTCTACTGTGAGCAAGTCTGTAGTATCCATTGGCCTAATTTTGTAAACGAACCTTATGGTATACCTATTCTTACATCTCCTTGTCCTTGTCATCTAATTTTTTTCCAATTTAAGTAATCATGTTTTATTTTATGTAGCTTTTATAAATAACCTTAAATTTTCTTGAAATTTTCACGAAGGGCATGAATAGCCTGAGCATGGTCATAATTGCATAGCCCAAGAATGTAACATGTTTAAGTCTTTATAAAGTACATTTATTACCAGGGATTCATGCAGTAAAATGCTTATGAGAACGAAAATTCCAGAAGAAACAAAAAGAGCTAGATGCTTAGACAAAGGAAGTAAATGTAGCAACTGAAGCCATGTTGCAGGCTCCAAGAGGCTACTTCTGGGCACACTACAGATAACTGAGGCATTGGAAATATGAATAACCCTATATAGAACTCCCACAGAAAAGAGAAGATAGTGAGATTAGTGGCATCCTAGACTTCTCTGAAGCTATAAAAGAATATTGCTACCATCTGTGGGGACTCATATTGCCTTCTATTCAGGATCAAATGTTTTTTTTGACTTCTATGAGTGTGAACATCACTGACTATGGGCTCCCAGTGGAATAAAGGGTAACTAGGGACCACAGCCACAAGAACAGAAGGGGTTAGATTCTTACCATTCCCAGACCAGACTAAGTGAAAAACTCAGCCGAGATGCAGGTGTATCCCCGTTCACATTTCAACAAAATTCACGAATGTCTCTTACTATTTGCCATAAAATTCTTCTTCATTATTATTTCCAGTGGTGGCATCAAAGGGATGCCTTGAGAGAACACTCTCACCCCAAACTACCACCGATAAATGTACAATTTAAGTAACAACCATATGCTTTGACATGCAACCTCAGCTTCGAGGTCTTTCCTCCTCTAAGGAGTTTCCATTCCTAAGCAGCATCTATGTAAATATGGATGGGCCAACACTGTTTATTTTTACAATCCCCTGTATTAGTCTGTTCTCATGCTGCTATAAAAACACACCTGAGAGTGGGTAATTTATAAAGGAAAGGGATTTAGTTGATTCACAGTTCTGCAGGGCTTTGCAAGGCCTCAGGAAACTCCTAGTCATGATGCAAGAGGAAGCAAACATGTCCTTCTTCACATAGCAAGCCAAAACCACACAGCAAGGAGAAGTGCCAGGCAAAGGGGAAAAAGCACCTAATAAAACCATCAGATCTTGTGAGAACTCAAGAGAACAGCAGCAGTGGGCTACTGCCCCCATGATTCAGTTACCTCCCACCAGGTCCCTCCCATGACAAGTAGGGATTATGGCAACTACAATCAAGATTCTGATCTTTTTGGGTGGGGACACAGCCAAACCATATCAATGCCAGAAGTGCTTTTCCAAAAGGTAACTCTAAAAAAGGACTGCATATTTGTTTGTGATGTGGCAAGGCAGAAGGAAAAGTCGGAAAGCGGCCTTTGCTAATCGTTATTCAGAGGAATTAAGAACCCAGTTTGAGAGATTTTCAGAGGTTTCAGAAGTAAAAGAAAGATGATCAAAATCCTATATAGCAGAATGAGCACACGCTTTGCTGTGTATGAAAATATAGAAGCCAAAACTCCCAGTTCTACAGCTTCTGAGCGATTGAGCAATCTTGGACAACTCAATTCGAACTTTAGCTTTCTCCTTGAAAGGTGAATGAAAGGATTAAAGTAAAGAAGGTACCTGGGTTTATTCTGAAAACTGCAGAGCATTTGACCAGTGTCAGTTATGAGCAATAGTAATAGAAGTGTGGAGTCAACCTTATTTTTAAGGAAACAAATCTTAACTTTTCTGTCTCTTTTTTATGACCCTATCTATCTAATCTTAACCTAACAGAACCCCTTTTGTGGTAGCTTAATCAAGTCTCCTTTGCTTCAACCAAAAGAGTCTGATCTCTACTGATTTCATTGTTTTGTCACTTCACAAAGTGAATGCTTCTACATAAAGCTCTGAAAAAGTAACAAGTCATCGCAAATACATGTGATATCCACAATCTAAAAAATAATTGCATAAGCCTGGATGTTGAAAAGCCTTTCTAGAAACACCAAACATCCATTTTCCCCAAGAAATTTCTAAAACTTCCTTAGGCGCTTTTGAAGCATTCTTGATAACAACTGCTTATATAGAACAGAAGTGAAAGAATCAATCAAGTTGGTTTTTAAAACAGCTACATTGTTGGCCCAAAGATGAACAATAGCCCTATTATCAATTTTTTAAAAATACATTTTTTAAAGGAAAAAAAAATCAAACTTGGACAGCCTGAACTTTAAATGGAAGACACATTGTACAAATCAGTAGTTCTGCTACATAGAAAAACTCTACTTAAGAAAAAAGCCTATTTAAGAAAAAAAATATTAACTGAAGATTTACTTAGAATTAAGTTATGGATATCCATATGTAATTCCAATATCTAAGGAGACTTTCTGCAGTATTTCCTTCATTCTCTGCGGAAATGTGCAGTGTTATAAAACTATCTTAGAATTCCCCTCTCTTGGGCTGTATGCTTGCTGCAGGGAAGAAGATAGGAAAATTAATAACTTCCTGGTAGCCTAGTATGTGTCAAACATGTGTGTATACTTTTCAGGGTCAGCCCATTACATGTGGTCAAAAATGCGGGAATGCAAGCCAGGCAGAAGGTACAACATATGAGGACAGGTGGGAAGAAAGATAAAAAAAAGGAAGGAAACAGCGGGAAGCCTGTAGAGGGGAAATCAAAAGACTTAGAAAGAGGGATGTCTGAGCATACATCATTGAATAAATGACAACAAGAATTCTGTCCGTAACAGTGTCTGATATCCTAGTGAACAATAGTTCTAGGTTGACAAACTAAGATCTTGAATTCGATTTGACTTTTAGCACTATTATATCATTATATCGGAACATACAATGACTGTGTTGGGCTTAGAATTAAAAAAAAAATAAAAATCTCAGAAAATGTCTTATGCTTTATTACATGATAATCCAGAGACTTCTAATAGCAACTGAGTGGCACAGCAATTATGGTGGTATCCACAAATCTACCCCCAGCATACTAAGGACTGTGACTGCTTTTAAATTATGAGTATTTATATTTAAGTTTAAAGAACTAAAGATATCATCCATAGCATTTCCTTCACCCTACCAAATTAAGGAGTATCAGGAAACTATCTTAGAATTCTACCTGTGGCCTGGCCACTGTAATGTCAGCTGTAGAAGAGACTCATTAACAAAGACAGAAGCATTGGAGAATAAAGACTTCTCAAGCATCCTACTTAGCACAAAAAGTAAACCAGGAGGCGCCAGGCTTACTCATTCATTCACTCTTCAGAAGGACTAACCTTCCCACTGGCTTCCCTGCACCCCCAGTGAACTCTGCCCTGCCCACTCCCAACTGCCCGTGATTCCTTTGAGTCTGAGGAAGGGGAAGCACATAACTACATATCTGTTAATCCTAGGAATTCAACCTTCTTCCTGCACTGTCAGTCATCCTATTTCTTTGAGGGATGGAAGGCCTTCTGTTCCCTGGCTGGCATACCAGTGGACAGGAAAGAAATCAGGAACTGCTTTTATTTAACAGGTAGCTTCGCAAACCTTTTTCCATGTGTAGCACTGGATTTGAGTTGCAGTAGCTTGTTTTCCAAAGACAGTTTTTTTTCTAGTAGTGTTCTCTTCTCCTAGGAGAAAATAAGATACAAATTTTGCTAAACTGGATGTGTATGTTTGGTAAGGCAGTCCTCTGTTCAAACTAGAACTATGGTTTGAGCTAAAGAGCTGATTTCACATGTGCTGTTACTCCCCATCTTCAAGGAAATCTGGCCAAGTATTCTCCTGTGTGTTTTACACATAGTTCAACTATAGGCCAAGAATAGTAGTTTTCACTCTCTCACCTGCCTGGAGGACTTTTGCTCCTCCTCCAGGGCATTGCCTGTAGCCTGTTCAGCTCAGCCTCTCCCATTCACCTCTCCCCATCCTGCCCCACATAAACAGCCTGCTCATCCCTCACTAGGCACTGGCTCTCCCACCCTTATACCGCTTCCCTACATTAGACTGAGTTGGTGGTATCTAAGGACAGTAGATACCCTACCCACTACATGGCATCTGTCAGAGAGTAGTAAATAAACGTATGTTTGATGAAGGATCAAGGCCACAAAGATACAACTGCTATCCAATTAGTGTACAGGAGAAACTGAGATTGCAATTTTTTGATACTGAGAAAGACTATCTTTTAAAAATGCCCTAATTTGATTATTAAGCCAAACTGTTTCCATCTTAAAGGAAAACAAACAAGACCATAGAAACGAAGCTGAGATGACTGTGTTCATTTTATATTTGATGGCAATTGGCTGAAAACAGGAATTTGGTGCTTTGGCCTGATGATTGAGGTTGCCAAGTTGGAAAGAATCAAGGGAGATTGAAAAGAGGGAGGAATTGGTATTGGCAACATGGATGAAATTGACTGGAAGAGATGTGCTGAAACTATCTACAGTGCTGTTTAAAGTTACTTCCTGCGGCAGCATCTGAATGAGTAGTACACAGAGAGGCTGTGCTGTATAGCAGAAACATCACAAAGATGGTCTGCAGGGACTTACTTGGTTTCTACATTTTGGCCAAGGTTTTAAACTCTCTGGGCCTTACCACTGTTAAGAAAAATTAACCCAAATTTGGAAATAAAAACAATACACAGCATGCAGTTTTAATGTCATATTGGATAATCATTTAATCATCAGACCCAAGATTTAATTCTCTGAGAATTTCCCTGTGTTTGCTTCTATTATTTATTATTTTATTAGAGCCCTGATTCTGTGAAGCTGAATGTAAATTTGTAGATTTCTGTCTGGTGGAAGAGATAATCAGATAATCCCAAAGATTATGGTTTAATTGCCTTAAAGAATATTAACTGTTTTTTAAATGTAATCCAGTAATCCTATTCTATTTTCACTTTTTCTCCAAAATGCCTATAAATGGCTAGTTCCTCAAAATATTTTATTTAAACCAGGTTTCTCATCTTACTGTTTCCTTCAATAATCAATGAGCTACTTGCAACATTTGACAGGCATTCATTGTATATTCATTTGATTCATACTTTTATCTTCTGAGCATTCCTAAAATGGGGATAATATTACCTATATTGAAATGTTGGGATGATGGAGATAATATATGTAAATGGCATACAGGCTTCCTGGCACATATTTGGACCTCAGTATATAATAATTTGAAGGTACCAGTTACTTCATAGCTGATGTGTTCTGTTATTTTTTTTAAATTATGCTCACTTTTTCCAATTTTTCTTATAGTATTCTTGCCACATAGAAATTGTCCTGGAGTTACCCTCGCTGTGTTCAAATTATTTCTGAGGGATCACAGATACATCTTGCAAGCATATGATGATGCTTGGGTTATCAAAGAAACACACCACAGATAATGTATTTTGAATTTGTCAGGTGAGGGAAAATGGTTCCTAACAACATTAAATAGACTTACTCTTGATTAATGGATTTTCATAAACAGGAGTCAGGGAAACCAGATAGCCGGACACGTAAAAGCTCTCCCTTGGCCAGGCTCTGGCATCTAGGTTGGGTTCTTTTTGCCTCCTCTTTGACAACACAGAAAATCATACCATACCGGATAGCATTTCTCAGGCAATGTCTTCAGGAAAGGGAAAGGGAGTTTGCAGCACCCCACAGTGGGCAACCCACTATTCCCAGAGCCATACCTCGAGACAGCTCCAGGATTCCCTCCCCAGACTGATCCGAGTGGGCACCAATTTAAATCATTGCCAAATGATAACATCTGAATGATTTGGGAACCAAGTTTATCAGTTTTGTCCAGCATTAGAGAAGACAGGGGCATAATGGAAAGTGGTATGATCTAGGAAGTGGAAGATTGTGGAATCGTTTCTGGTTTATGCTGTCCTCATTTATAAAATTATCATGAGGAACTAGGTGGTCTCAGGAGTGCCTTTCAGCTCTAAAATTGCAATAGAGCTAAATCGATGACATTAGGAAACAAATATGATGTAACAGAATTACACTGCTGGCAAACGGAACATATGCTATATTAAAATGCTCTTATTGGGCATTTTTGCTAGCTGATCACTGTGTTTATGGAATTCATTCTCACTGCATTCTTGATTAAAGTGGGACAGATGGTGAAGGTTTTAAGTAATGTGTTCATTACCAGACCTCATACCACTAATGGCTATTTACTGGAGCGGTGGATTGTTCAAGTGAGTAGCAAGAAAATTCTTCTCCAGGGGGTACGCACTACCAGAGCAATATTTATCAACCTTTGTGAGAATGTTCATTTTTAATTTTTACTTTATTTTTGAACTTGTTTTTTCCCTATTAATACAAAAGGGCCAGTACACCCTCCTTTATTCTGACCCCCACTCCCTACCTGAGACACCCTTCCTCACAGCCTGTCTTCACAGTCTCTCCTTAAACCAAGATGTTGCCAAGCTTTGCTTCTTACAGTTTTATTTATTTGCTTGTTTCACAAATATAAAATATCCTTAAACCAATTTGGTTTTATTTTTGTTTTGTTTTTTGAGACAGAGTCCTGCTCTATCACTCAGGCTGGAGTGCAGTGGTGTGATCTTGGCTGGCTGCAACCTCCCAGGTTCAAGTGATTCTCATGCCTCAGCCTCCAGAGTACCTGGGACTATAGGCACATGCCACCATGACCAGTTAATTTTTGCATTTTTTAGGAGAGACACAGTTTCACCATGTTTGCCAGGTTGGTTTTGAACTCCTGGCCTCAAGCGATCCTCCTGCCTCAGCCTCCCCAAATGCTGGAATTACAGGCGTGAGCCACCATGCCTGACCTAAACCATTTTTTTTTTTTTAAAGATAAGACTCCTGCACATTTCCCTTCCACATTATCCCCACTTATCTCTACCCTCCAGAGATTCCAGTAGGCTGTATTCTAGGAAGTCACTGAATTATTGTGGAAGGTTTCTGCATGACCTTGCCAAGCCATGGGCATCCTGTCTACTTCCTCTGTCCAACATCTCCTGGAGACAGCCCACTGTTATGAGTTATTATCAGGGAGGAGTGAGGCCATCACTTCCCAAGAATGTTCTGCAGGATCTGGGCCACTGAACCTTACTCTGGAATACACTCCTCTGCCTTCGACTGGGCTTTCGGCTTCCCTAAAGGACTCATAGAAGAATTAAGAAAGGGAGATCTAGGAAGTTCTTTGAACCTCACACAATCCAGATATACTACATTGTCATCTCCACAAAAAGACTATCTGGTTCATTTACAAATGTATATCCAGCCCGTAGTTCTATGCTGTGGATGGTGGTGTTCAAATATTTGTTTAATGAACAGTGAAGTAAATATATCCCAGACCTCTGAGATGAACTTACATCTAGAACACATTTCCTGGGGTCACTAGGAAATAGAAATTATCTTCCACTGTTCTTTTGTTAATTGGGGGGCAGTGACAGTGGCCACTAAACCTGACCCAATATTACCAGGTTTGAGATGGGGTGAGCTCTAGTCTATACTTAAATGTTAAGCTGGTTAATCAAGTTGTTTGGTGAAGCAATTATATTCATTTCCCAGAATTGGCTTTCTTTCCTTAATGCAAACATTCTTTGTGCTATCTTAGTTTTGTTAAGCTATTTATTATAGGATCAAGTATTCTGACACTACCAAGTACTCAACCAAATATTACAGTTTTTCCAAAACAGCATAATTATAAACTTTCATGCCTCGATAAACTAATCACTTAAGGACATTCTAGCCCACTGATTCTGCTAAAGTATAACACTCTGTGACCCACCACATAATAAACATGCAGTTGGATATTATTATCTTAGAACCACTTGAGAAATGAGCATATTTAATTTTTGTGATTTCCTCATAGGACATCACAAAGACTATAAATTCAACCAAATCACAATGTTATAAAACTTTAAATTCTTGGGAAATATTTTTAAACAAATCAAAGTTCCTTTGGTAAGAAACCCAAATATTGAAATGTGATGTTTTTGAAATGACATTTATAAAATGGCATAAACCCAGGCAGAATAATAAAACAAAGCTAAAAAGAACAGAGGCAAATACAATAAATATAAAAAAAATGTATTAGGCAATATTTACTAGAAGCCAAAACCTACATTCTTCTCAAACCCCAATTCCATTTCAGAGATGCCAGTTTTCTCTTTGTTTTGCTATTAAAAAAATATTCCTTGATTTGTCCAAATTCTAAATTCTAAGGCATGCATACACAAATTTATGCATTTACCTTTTATGTATATTTGGAGTGCTAGCTACTTAAATGAACATTGTATGAAACATTTTATAATTTTTGTTCTATTATTACTCTTCTCTAAATATGCCTTCTTAAAGTTCCAATTTCCATAGAATGGATTTTCTTAATGTTAACCGTATCTCTCCTAGTGCAGCCATAGGTTTTTACAAACACAAAGTGGACTTGGGTGGCCAAAAATGGATACTGCACATTAAAATGCTGTGATTACAATGACCTGCCATATTATTGCTCCTAGTAGATGGACTTTGTGATCTTTTCCATTATTTGCATTCACAGCCTCACCTGGGTCCCCTTTCTAAGTTATGTATTTCCTAGAAAGATAATGTGACAAATGATGATATGACTACAGTATTTGCAGAAAGGTAAATCAATCACTACAGTATAGATCATATGAAATGTTTAAGGGAAAAAAATATTAAATCATTCCTAAGGCCAAGAATTGTAAAGAGCACTTTCACTTAATATTATCTTATTTAATTTAACGTCCTATTTATTTTAGTGTTATTTTATTACTTGCTCATCTTAATCATGTCGGTAAGAAAATCCCCTAATTCTCCAGAGACTGTACCTTTTCCATTCTCTGTACAAGGTTCTCTAATTCTGTAATTTGACTGTGTTTTTCTTCAAGTTTTTCAGCAACTTGATTCAGATTTTCAACATGTTGTTTCAATTTCTGTTCTTTTTCAACCTTGTTAACCTATGGTCAGAGAAACAGTTGTGTTGTGAAAACTCGGTTTTTATTAAACCTATACATATATTACCTCTTCCTATAATTTTCTAGTTAGCCAAAAAAATTCCTAATTCATACTTATTTAGAATTACTTTTTTGGTATCAGCGTTTCCTTCAAAATAACTCTGATAGACTACAACAACATTAAATAGAGAATTAATAATGTATAAATATTCTTCCTAGAATGTTTACATTTGTTACCATAAAGCATACTTCCTGAACTGGTATAAGAAAGATACTAATTTAAGAAAAAAAAACATTTTTTTTTACTATACTTTAAGTTCTGGGGTACATGTGCAGAATGTGCAGGTTACACAGTTATACATATGCTATGGTGGTTTGCTGCACCCATCAACCAGTCATCTACATTGGGTATTTCCCCTACCAGAACACACAAAAAAATCTTACATGTTCAATGAAAACATGTTTTATTTTTAATCGGGAAGTGTCACGAAAGCAGAATAAGCCTCCTCACTGTATCATGGTGCTACTTCATAGGCATAGAGGACGGGTAGGGCTGACGATCATGGGAGAGAAGTCTTCGTCTAGCAGGCAACAGGCCACAGTGGGACTGCGTCAACTAACTTCTTACTCCTCTGCATGTGTATTTTACAAGGTTTGACATTTCACAGGGAAAAATAAGTGTCTGGCTTCCCTTGTAAATACCAAGTGGGCCTTCCTGTCAGGTCACTCCAGGCTGGGGCTGAGCCCACATTACAGGGATGCATGCTTCCTGTCCCCACAAGCACCACCATCACATAGCGCCCCTCATCCGCTTCCCGCTTACGTTCTTCATCTGCACCCTGTAAGCGGGTGAGTTTGCAACTATCACTACCACAGCCTGAAGCATGAAAGGGTGTCACGTAGGCAGTGAATTTCCTACTGTACTCCCCAGAGACACTCCTATAGCTTGAGCTGACAGACACCTGGGTGCCCCAAACTGTTATGAATGAACTTTCCGATTAGCTGTTTTATATTTTTAATGTTGGCAAACAAATACACACACACACACATACACACACAGGCACACACACACTTTTTTGACTCCTCCAGTTCTAGAATATATTTTTCAGACAGATTTTATTGGTCCTAGTATATATACTCCAGATTTAAAAGCAAATGAACAAAGAAGAATATGCATGAGGGTATGTACATGTTTTTTATTTTTAACATTTATATATATTTACATATTAAAATATAAAAATAGATAACTTTATATATTTTTAACTATATATACATTCATATTTTTGTTTTCTATTTTTTTAAATCTGAAGTATGTATCCTAAGACCAAAACAAGTTTGAAACTATGTGTCTTTCACTCTAGAGACAGAGACATCCAAGTCCAGAAAGAATGGCTTAGTCTGAGTCATCTAGCGAGTCAACGACAGAGCCTGAAGGGAAGTTACCAGCCAGGCTCGGAAGGGCCAGCCCAGATTTCCAGGCACGGTGGCGCTGCCTCCCTCCCACCTGTGTTCTTGGGGGCTCTGGGTAAGAACTGAGACACAGCAGCTCAGCAACATCTGGGGTGTTGGGCTACACAGCGTGAGGGAAATCGGCAAAAAAGACTAGCCCACCGCTCCTTCTCCAAGTCTTCTGCCAAGTCATTTGGCCATTGCTTATTTCATTTCTAATTCTTCCAGAAAGATGAACTTGAACAGCTCGGGGTGGGGGCTCGTTCTCCAGTAGACAAGCTGCGTGTTTGGTACCTGGAGTAAGTGTTTACTGTCCTCATGCTTTTTTCTCACTTCTTCGGATTGTGTTTGGTAGTTTTCAAATAATCTCCGGGCCACGTCTCGCAGAGCTGCTGCTCCTGCTTCTCTGGAGGCTTCCAGCTAGAAAAAAGGTCACTATGCATGTTCTGACATTTACAACAAAAAGTGTTAAAGGCAGAACAGTTTGGTTGGCAATTAAGAACACCAAGGCTGTAACTATACATGTACAGCCTCATAGAAAATGGATAGGAGAGAAGACACTGTTACCTGGTAGGAGGAAAATGTACAATAAGAAACTCCCTATTTAGAGGGGCTGCTGTGAAGCGGGAAATTAGGAACTTGGAGAGACGAATGGGGAAGCCAGAGGATTTTATTTAATGTGATTGCAGGCTCAGTGGAATTGCTTCCTAAGCCTGAGCAAGGTACAAAAAAACTGAGGGCCTTTTAAGTACCTTTGTGCTACAAGATGATTAAGCAGGAAGTGATTTTACAGAACTAAGAACAAAGAGCAGTTAATTATCCTGTGACATGTCTTGTGACGTACTTTACATTTGAAAAATAACATTGTAAGAAACAGGTCTTACATTCTTTAGGTTTTATTTGCCCTGTGACCTTGCAGGTGGTCAGCAAGAAAAATAGGAACTTCTGGATGCCTGGGAACTTTGCTAAGAAGGTGGGGAGGCTAGATAAGGTTGAATGGTTTACAGAGAGTTAGTTAATTTTAAGCAGAGCAGAGGAGGGGAGGAAGTTTCATCTTAAACACAACACAGTAAATTTTGCCTTATTGTACAGCAATTGTAAATTATTAATTTCCCTCTTCAGTTGAACAGGCAGATTTGCCCTGGTCAAACCAAAGCAGAGCTCATTCCACAGCAATGCCCTGCAGATATACTCCTCACCGTTCAAATAACTCTATGGTGCTCTGTCAGCTT